TTTTCCACCCTTATATAAAATTGTTTATGTCATATTGACCAATGTTTGGTCAAACACGTTATCCATTAATGTTTTCACTCAAACCTTCACCAATTTCCTCTATCCCTAAAATAGAATTCAAAATTCAAAATTCAAATCCCCTCCAAATTTAAAGTTGTAATTTATGTATTGGCCATCCTTTATGTTTGCAAATCAACATGATATATCTTTATAATTATTCTATTTCTTTCTCAGTGTAGATCGATGGTAACAAAATTCATCAAGGGAAAAACAGTCATCTTGAATTTAAATCTTATTAATATAGTAAATACCTCAAGTTTTGAAATTAATAATCGGTTTGATACATGTTAAATTACAATTGCTCGATTTTCAACTATCTAACTCAATAATTGTATGTATTTATTCTTAAACTTACCATTTTTCTATAATGTTATTGATTATATTTACTATATTTAAGTTTAAATTGCAGAAAATTTTACTTGAAAGTGATAAGCATTAGTTGATGTTTGTATTAAAGCTTGAGGATGATGCAAAACTCTAAACACCTTAGTGGTAATATCCTACACACTTAATAATTGAGTATTTCGAAAAAAAAAATATTTTTCATTAACTTTGATAACAAATTTGTTGAATTAAGCATATTTTTATGCTTATAAATTTGTTTTCTCTACTTACTTATACTTATCATCTTGAAGATGAGAAAACGTTAATCATGACTATATTGAAAAGTGTCAAAAAGATCATATTGGTCATACCTTTCTGACATGATCTTCAAATGTTCCTTGCTCAATTCTTTGTTTTTTTTTCTTAGAGTAAATTACACGAATGGTCCCTATGGTTTGGGGTAATTTGCACGTTTAGTCCCTACCTTATTTTTTTTAACTCGGAAGGTTCCTATTGTTTGTTTTTGTTACACGTTTGGTCCCTATCTTACCTAAAAAGACTATTATTTAAATAGGGAAAAATGGTGGGGTATGTAAGGTAAGGTGAATGAGGTGGGATTGGGGTGTGTTTATTTAAATAAATCAAAAAATCAAGGGAAAAATAGTATTTTTAGGTAAGTCAGGGGCCAAGCGCATAACAAAAACAAACAGTAGGGACCTTCCGGGTTTAAAAAATAAGTTAGGGACCAAATGCGCAAATTATCCTAAACCATAGGGACTATTCGTGTAATTTACTCTTTTACTTATATCGTTTTTGTGTATTTGATTTGTTTCTTTAAGAAACTCGGTTTTCTACTAATTTTGATAAAAAAAAATTGTTGAATTAAGCATAATTTTTGTGACATCCCCAATTTCACGGCCAGAAAAGACCGATTTGTTTATGCTTTATTTGAAAAGCAGAGTATATTGTTAAAGAAATATATCGCGGAATTTGTTTCCAAAAATATGATAAAGAATCTATCAAAGCATTTCCGTAGAAATCTGTTATATTAAAAACCTTTGGATATCATTGTTAATACAGATCAAAAAGCATAAACATAAATAACATAGGCATTATAATATCTATTTATTCTAATAGCATATAATCCATTGATCTCTCATCAGATCATCACTCTTGTGTTCTCTTTCCACTACATGTATATAAGAAAACTGAGTGAGTCAGGCTTGGGAGCCTAGTGAGCATATAGGGTTTTCAACCCACAATAAATAAGTTTATTAATGTCATCAACCAACAATAACCCGGTTACCCATTCCCGTTATCCTCACTTTATGTCCCTAAAACACCTATTGTAAGGGACCTAGCCTAAGGATTATCATCGGGATAGACACTACTGCTAAGGGGTTTCCTCAACAATAAATGTTCGTAAGACAACCATGAGGGGGATAGACTACACCAGTGAACACATTGTTCACAAACACCTACAAGTTGCAGGCATGCTAGCGTTCCACTCTGCTAGATGACTGGATCAACAACAACATCAAGACCTCTCATCATTTTATCACACACCAACTATTTCATCTACCCATGTTTTACCCCAACATATTTGTAGATATAAAATACATATACAATTTAAATCATTTTAAACATGTATAATAGTGTTCATTTAACATAGATAACAAGTATACAAACAATATGCACGCATATCATGTAATTTATATAAAATACTTCATATCTATACGTAAGATGAAAATAAATATACACTCACATTAGTAGCGTGAGTAGATAGAATCTAACTAAAAACAGTCAACGGTTCGTGATAGTTGGGCTCAGGATGCAGAACGGCTTCAGAAAACGAGAGAGAGAGAAAAAGAAGATTTGGTGTAAGGAATGAAAGAGCCTTGATCGCTATTTGTAGGGTGTTCTGGGGCCATTCACGTCGTGAACATGATAGGTTCACGTCGTGAACTTCCATGAGTCATCCCATAGCTTTAACATGTGTTTTCTAGCCCGATTAGTATCCCTAACATGTTTCACGTCGTGACTTAAGGCGGCTAGGGTTTCTGCCACGTGTCATGCCCTTAGACAGCTGTATCTTCGCAAGGTCATAACTTTTGCATACGAACTCCGTTTTTGACGTTCTTTATATCCACGTGTAGGTGTAGACGTAGTCTACAACTTTCATTTAGACCCTAGGCTAAAAAGTAGTTTATCACAAAATCAATTTGTACGATTCCCGGTGTCGTGCCGATTTTGACGCGAAACTTCGACAGGTCGTATCTTCTTCATTATAACTCGGATTTCGGCGTTTTTTATATCTGCAAAATCCTTGTCCCGGCCACTACAACTTTATTCATAGATATTGGACTTATCTATTATTTTCTTTTTGACGCTTATTTTTATTGTTAACTTATTTTATCTTATAATTAAGTATAATGCACACAAAATCACATAATATTCAAATAATTTTTATTTATTACTTCAAAGTAGGTTATAATTGTTGACCCTAACTAATACATCATTATATTAATGCTTAACCTAGAAACACGGGCGTTACACTTTTATGACTATCAATTTGTCAATTTTCTATTAATAAATAAAGTGTAAATCAATTTGAATAATTGTTAAATTTCATATTCTATAATGTAATTAATGCACTAATTAATCAAATAATAATACATGCTCAAATGGTTGGGTACCTCCAGGACAATAAGTAAACATGCAAATTATAAGTAATTTCACAATATTGTATTTTTTTTTACTAGTTTTAAATTGACAATTAATTCTTTCAATTGCTTAATATTATTGATTACTCATATTGGTTTGTAATAAAATAAAATATTGATAAAATGAAAAAATTGTTCAACAAAACCTAATTGGTTATATATCAATTTAGGCTTCTTTTTGTGTTGTCATGTTTGTTAATTTGGCTATGTAGGATTCATTTGAAGTTCTATTTCTCTACAAGAATGTCAATGTTCACATTCAAGTAGAAACAATCACAATTTGTAAGTATTCCAAATGATTTTCACTTACATTAATCAAAACTGTTACTTTAAATGGTGCGTTCTCATATAAGTCAAACCGGTTGTCACTATACAGATCTTCTAGCGGTCTATAGAAGAATCTTAGCGGCTCTATAAATAATTTTGCTGTGTTTTCAATGAAGGATCACTCTATCAACATTCGTTCTCTAAAGTTCTTTCTCTTATTTTTGATATACGCGCGTGTCACAACAATAAGACAGAAAGAGGTGCTAGTAACCATTAAAGATGAAAATGTAAGATATAATTTAAGAATATTATATAAAGTATAAATTGTGGATTTATGATATTTATTTCTATGAAAAATATTTTGTTTGATTGCTAGGTTATATATCAAGGTTTTTTTTGTAATATGATTTTGACAAGTTTGGTCTAAATTTAATAATTGAAGCAGATATGAAATATATGTGCTAACGATTTTGAATTTGTATTGCCCTCCAGAAACCAATTGTAGCCCAATAGACCGTTCCTTCATATCTTGGTAGGTCTTAACATTTCCCAAAATTTGGCTACAAGAAGTCATGGATTCACTTCTTGAATCAATCCTCTAAACTTAATTTCATTTGTTAGTTGGATGCAGTGACTAAAATGCAAGATTTGTGAAAATTCATTATTATTTATTAATGTTAACCTTTGGCAAATTATGAAACTAATACTATGTTTTTGTTCATAACATGTTTTTTTTTTCTTATAATAATTTCTTTGATCAGAAGATATGTATATGTAATTAGCTGTAGACTGAAAAATCATATTTTAATTCTTACAAGGAAAAAAATATTTTATAAATTTACCAAATTAAAATATATGAATTTGATGTTTATGGTTATGACCAAGGTTCTAAATAACGTAAGGTGTGACTTGGCGGCAATTTCAAGCCTTAACGAGTCATGACGTTTGTAAGGCGTGACTTAAGACGACAATTTTCTATATAATTAATATTTGTATATGTATTTTCAACTATTACTCAATTTTATACACATATATGAGTTAAGGCGACGTTTTGGTAAAGCTTGGCGGCAGGTGCAAGCCTTGGAGTTGTGGCGCGCCATGGCAGAGCCATGGCGAGCATGATGAGCTTTTTAGAACCTTGGTTATGACAATGCACTTAAACTGTAATGTTTATCGAATTTCTTTGCAGAATTTAATGTTGCTTGTACATATAACAATTTATTGTTGCTTTTGGTTTTACAGGGCCAATATAAAAAGAATCATGTGAGCCTCCATGGAAGTTGGTACACCGAACAAAATCAATTCATAAAACTACTACACAACATGTTTTAATCAAGAAGTCACGTCATGTTGTGATAAAACAAAGATCACGTGGATCATTTATATTAAAAATTATTGTATTAAAAAACCAAATTGCTCTAATATAAATATTAAATATTTTTATTTAATAAGTTTGGTTCAAAAAATCTAAAAATAATCTAACTAATATTTTTTATTAAAATTTCACTTGAAACAATGTCGTTAATATATATTTAATTTATCTTCTCCGACGCGTGTCATAGTTTAGTTTAGTGTTATTTAAAACGTCTTTTAATACATCCATTGCAAATTTATTTGGCAAATCGTTTGTCAACCAAAAAAATACAATTTGTCGGCATCCGGAAAAAAAAAAAGCCTATAAAACACGATTAGGGCGCAGGGCGCACCAATTCAACAAACAAACTCCATTAACGTAATTCAAGTTTGAGACAGATTACAATAGCAAAAAATCTAACAAAGAAACACTCAAATTAAACCGAAGACTATGGCAGATGCCTACTGCGGCGACTGCAAGAGGAACACAGAGGTGGTGTTCGATCATTCTGCCGGCGATACCGTTTGTTCTGAGTGTGGACTCGTCCTTGAATCCCACTCGATCGATGAGACCTCCGAGTGGCGTACCTTTGCCAACGAGTCCGGAGATAACGATCCCGTTCGTGTCGGCGGTCCCACCAATATCCTCCTCAACGACGGTGGTTTATCCACCGTGATTTCTAAACCTAACGGCGGCACCAGCGATTTCCTTTCGTCTTCGTTGGGACGGTGGCAGAACCGAGGTTCTAATCCCGATCGTACACTCATCTTGGCGTTTAAAACGATCGCGACCATGTCTGATAGGTGAACGTTTTGTCTATTCATTCGTCTACTAAGATGTATGAATTACGATGATTTAGGGTTTCATCTTGTTCCTAAAGATTCTTCTCAATCTAACGAACTAGGAACGACAATACCGTTGCATCTTTGTATTGCCCCATGAATTAGAGATAAGGAATGTTGTAGATTTATTGGCTATGGCTTCTTTAATTGATTGATCTGTAAGTTAAAAGGCTCAGGCATTGCAACCCTATTTCGCCATCTATGGTGTCTGTGTTTTCCCTCTAGTTAAGCTTTGTAAGTGATAGTTAAACTTGTACACATTGTAAGGAGTTATTTGTGACTTGTGGATATCATGGAGAATATGTAGGACAGTAGGAGAATTGTTGTTTCTACTTTCTTGTGATGATAACGACAGGAAGTAGTCATCTTGCATTTGATTTGATTCTTTTAGATCAATTTCATCTGTTCTATTGAACATTATCATTCTTGTTTCTACAATTTTCATATCTGATAGACTTAATTTATGGTTCAGGTTGGGCCTTGTTGCAACAATAAAGGTATGGAAATGCAGCTGTGTATTTCAGTCATATAAACAAACTGTGGCTTATCCTTTTGAATTCTTCCTTTGATTATAGGATCGTGCTAATGAGATATACAAAAAGGTGGAAGATCAGAAGTCAAGTAGAGGGAGAAATCAGGATGCCATTTTGGCTGCTTGCCTTTACATTGCTTGTCGTCAGGAAGACAAACCACGAACAGTAAAGGGTACAAACAAACCTTGATATCATTTTGTATTTATATTTGGATTATTCTAATTTATGTATTCTCAATCTCAAGATTTCCTTCAACTCTCTTCGAATAGAAATATATGAAATAGATTTCTTCCTTGAACTCTATTCAAATAGAAATATGTTCGGTTGCCAATGGAGCCTCAAAGAAAGAAATTGGTCGGGCAAAAGAATATATTGTCAAACAACTTGAGCTTGAGATGGGTCAATCTGTTGAAATGGGGACTATTCATGCTGGCGATTTCATGGTCAGTTTTTTTTTTTTTTTAAATATCTCATAATATTTTTTTATTAATTTGAGTTCTTTCGATATGTATTTCAAATCATCAGAGACGATTCTGTTCGAATCTTGGAATGACCAATCAAACTGTTAAAGCTGCCCAAGAATCTGTAAAGAAGGCAGAAGAGTTTGATATAAGGTATTTTTTTTTTTTTTTTTTTTTTTTTTGTTTTGGTTTCATATTCAATATATTTAATCATTTGGGTTATTCTTACGAAATTTATACAATGTGTTTTTCAGGAGAAGCCCGATATCTATAGCTGCAGCTATTATTTACATAGTAACTCAACTTTCGGATGAGAAAAAGCCACTCAAAGGTAGATATATATAGAAATGCAACATTTGACTTTACATAATTGGTAAGGTTAAATGTTAGTTATGATGTTAAAGTTGCTAAAAAAGGAATTTTATGGATGCATCAGATGTAGCACTTGCAACTGGAGTTGCAGAAGGGACAATCAGAAACTCGTACAAGGATTTGTATCCTCATTTGACAAAAATCATACCAACTTGGTATGCCCAAGAAGATGATATTAAGAACCTATCTAGCCCTTAAAAACCCATACATACTCTTTTAAAAGTTTAATTATCTTTTTTGGATGTTCTTCTGATACCAAAGAAGATGACAGTTGATATGGACAACTGCCATTTTCTGTCAATCTTATCCACTTTTGGATCCTATGAGTATATACTATTAATTTGTTATTTTTAGAACTTACATAAGTTGAGCAATCTTACATCTTCGGGTAACATTGTTTTCAATTTAATGAATGGATTTGAATGTGTCTAATTAAGATTGCTCAAATATAGCTAAAAGAAAATATATATATATTTTTTTTATAAATAGTAAATTCCATCCTATACCAAGTATGAAGTATAAAACCCCATAAGCACGATGAAAAACTTAACAAGACTTCCAACTACTTTCATGTATACACTAACATTCTCATTGTACACCAAAGATACATTATTCTCTCTCGGAAATACTTAGGATGACGAGAGTATTTTTGTGACCTCCCCATGAATATGAGGGGAAATTTTTAAGTCAAATATGGGACTTAGTATTTTTTTAGATAGTCTAGTTTCTCTGTCTTAATATAAATATCATGTTTTCAGTGATTTTTTTTCTGGATCTAAATTGTTTTACCAAGAAAGTTCAAATATAAGATTTATTTGCTATTACTATTTATTACTACAAAATCATCAAAGAAAGCCCCATATATAATTGATATTTATGAAAGTTTAGAAGAATATGATTATTTTTTCTATGTTGGTTGGTATAAAAAACGATTGTCTTCTTATAACGTAAATTTATACTTTTAAAGATTCCAATTTATTCAAATTAAAAGATATGGTTCCTTGTCTACAAATGAGACTTATCTAAAGCAAATAAGGTATATTTTATCTTTTATCTTCAATCACTATGTTATGTAGTATTATATTAGGTGTGAGATTCATGTATTATACGAGTTAATTTAAAAAAAATTAAATATTAAATTAAAATGTAAATAAAAAATGTTTTTTAACGTACAACTTTTAAAATAAGAAAAGAATAAGCGTATTTATTGCAATTTAATATCATATATATATATATATATATATATATATATATATATATATATATATATATAATATTTAATACTTTACATATATAAACATGATTTTAATTTTAAAAATAGAATCAAATCAAAAATTGACAAATTGATAATATTTATTTTAAAAATACTAAAAAGTAACAAGTGTTAAAATTCATAAAAGATTGATATATGGCAAAAAAAAAAAACCTTTATTTATATTAAGGACATGCACACATGATATCTTGTAGAGTTTCTAACTAATATGGTCGTGCAACATATTCAAATATGTGTCACTTTGTCTTTAGAACTCCAAAAACATGTTCTACATCTTTACGTGTTTATTTTTGTTTTCCCTTGAAAAATTTGTAAATAGTTCTACTGGGTGTCGAAATGTTTTTACAAATGTGGAATATGATGGATATATTCCATTCGTAAGGTAATACTCAAATTTATATTCATATCTATTCACTATGAAATGAGCATCCGATGCCTTTCCTGACAAAAAACGTTGAATATTGGTGACTGATCAAGAACGTTGACGTCGTTATTGAAACCTGCAACCCTGAAAAAAGAATATCAACTCTGTGAAACATGTGAATACTCACTTACCTCTAGCATTATATCTCAATTGGAAAATATATTTAATAGGTTAAAAATGTATTTATTTTATCTAAAAGCTATATATATATATATATATATATGCTTTCCAAGGCGCTGACTATCCGTATAGACACATTTTTTTGCAAACAAAACATTATTTTGAAATAGCTTGCCTGATAGACACAATTATCCACATAATAATCGTGAACTAGACGTTGATGTCATTCTTCGTGATTTATGTTTAACATCACACATCTTCTTAGTAGTAGAACTTGAATGGTTGTAGTAGCACATTCGTACAATACTCCTATATCATACCGACGAAGATATCGTCAACATTATCATCGTTGGATGGGTCGAACGGATCCATTTTTTAATTGGGAAATATTGAAATTTTATAAAATGTAGAGAAAGAAAAGAAAGAGGTGATTAAAAATAAGGCAAAAATGTTTTTAATTAGGAATGTAACACTCGTGTTCCAGTGTGGTTTAGTTTTTATTCTTTAAGGCTAAAGATGAAGTTTTTAGGAAAAACTCTATACCACGATGTAGGGCAAGGATACCCATGACATGGCACTGAATAAGTGGCACATGCATTTTATTGAGCCACCATGGCGTGGCTAAGGAAAGCCACGACGTGGCAATTGATCAAGCCTAAGCCCATGACTCTTTTAGGGTTCCCTTTGTATTTAAGCCTCTCTATCTCGGTTCTAGGGTTCATTTCTCAACCTCTATCCCCCTTAACCTCAGATAAACCATACTCCTTTCTCTCTTGGTGGTTTTGGCTCATTTTGGGTGGTTTTGGTGCTTTTGGGGGTGGAAGTGAGGAGATTGGTGTAAGGAGCAAGCAAGCAACAATTTATCATCTTGGTTATCACCTTCCAGACCATTTGTAAGGATTTAAGTCTCTATCTTTTGAATCATTCTCTTAGATCAAGATCCTTTTGGTCCCTTTTTGGTTCATTGAGTTGATTGAGTGAATGATGGAATAAAGTTGACAACTTTATTGCTCTCTAGTGTCCCTTGAACATCATATCTTATGGATCTGAAGTTTGGTGGTGTTTAGTGAATCTTGCATAAGTTTAGATCATTTTCTTTCCATTTGACTTAAAATGAGTTAAGGGATCATATTGTATGGATCTGAAGTTTAGTGGTGTTTAGTGAATCTTGCATAAGTTTAGGTCATTTTCTTGCCATTTGACCTAAGATGAGTTAAGGACATGCATGGGGCATGCATCTCCATCAAGTAATCATTTTTATGGACCTTTGGTGCCCCCTTTAGCTTCTTGAATAGTTAAGGTTAGTGACTTTTTCATATTGTATGGATCTGAAGTTTAGTGGTGTTTAGTGAATCTTGCATAAGTTTAGGTCATTTTCTTGCCATTTGACCTAAGATGAGTTAAGGACATGCATGGGGCATGCATCTCCATCAAGTAATCATTTTTATGGACCTTTGGTGCCCCCTTTAGCTTCTTAAATAGTTAAGGTTAGTGACGCGGTTTGAGTTGAGTGTTGTTCGGTTTTGTGATTTAGGTGAGTCTCCTCATTGTATCCGTGGGCCGAAGGCACCAATGCTTGCCCATTAGGATCTGTTATGCTAGTTGTCTTTATAACTCTTGCATGGTATGTTGGGATAGGCCTATTGTATGACGAGCTAGGCCCATTTATATGTTGGGATGGGCTCATGGATCAGGAAGTGCTATACCCAATGTATGTTATGTAGGATGTTAGTTGTCTTTATGGATTTCACATTGTATGTCGGGCTAGCCCCATTGTATGATGGACTAAGCCTATTACTATAGGTTGGGCCCAATATGAGGGCTAGGCCCAATGATATGTATGGTATGTGGTATTTTGGTGAACTTACTAAGCTTTGTGCTGACACTTTTTATGGTTATGGTTTCAGGTACTTCCGGTTCGAAAGTGAAGGGCTCGACTTGATCGTTGCGCATCCGCCTATATTTCCGCAACAATATGATTTTGGGATTGTACTATGATAACTGTTTTATTCTCAAATACTTTTTGAATGATTGGAAAAAAGGAAAATTGTTGTTTTAGTTAAATTAAAAATGAAAATTTTACCTTATGGTTTTTGGGTCATTACAAGTTGGTATCATAGCCTTGGTTTGAGGGATTCTGACACACTCTCGGGTGTAATTGAACTCAAACTGAGGAGTTGGTAATCTTTTAAAAGAAAATAAATTTCTTAAAAGACTTGTAACACCAAATTTTCAAACAAATTTTTTTTTTTTGATTTTTTTTGATTTTTATAAAAACATAATTCCATCAATATTCATAGAAACAACCATTTTAATTGTTCAACAAAATAGTACAAAATCCCAAGATCAAAATGTCAAGCTCCAAACGTGTGTGTACGGATCAAGCCGGCGCCTTCCCGCGGTCGTCACTAGTACCTGAAACAAATAACATCAACACTGTAAGCACAAGGCTTAGTGAGTTTCCCAAAATACCACATATAGCACATATTAGCCACTCTAGGCTATAACTCTGTGGGTCCGTGCACCCAAACTCTGTGAACCCTCAGGTTCCAACTCTGATAATCATGCACCACATAAATCACATAGAAATCATGCAGTACAACACATAACATATATATAGCACACAAATACTCTATCACATAGCTCTGGTTACCTACTCAAGGTAAAGTATAGTGAGAAGACTCACCTCGCGTGTCTCGGTAAACCGTAACCCTGAAATCGCTAAACACTCGATCTGCCGAGCTGAAGTCCCCCTATAGCACAATACATCTCTAATTAACACTTTCCCAACTAGGGTTGACCACACTATAACAAGACAATCTAGGTCAACGCTGGTCAACGGTCAACTTGACCGGACTCGGCGAGTGCACTATAGCGACTCGGCGAGTCTGAGCGCATACACCAATTTCCCTGGAATCCTCTCTTGACACGTCGAGTATTTCCCCAACTCGACGAGCTCCACCTGGCACGAGTTGTGGGGCCACCACGACTCAACTCGCCGAGTCTCAAGAACAACTCGGCGAGTCCGGTTTGACTCGGTCCACCTGACCATCCTGACTCCCCCTTGACCCACTGAGTTCACTCATCCCAACTCGGCGAGGCCACTCGCTGAGTGGTCGTGCAATATTCAAGCTACTCGCCGAGTCTGTTCTTCGGACTCGGCGAGTCCGTGCCATGCACTGACTCAATCTTGCTCTAAAGGCCAGATCCAGTCCATTAATCCATAGATCCAGTCCCTCCAAGCTTATTTAGCACGTAAAGTCACAATCTTGATGCACATATAACCTCTACATGACCATAAATGATGTTTTTGACTCAAATACTTCAACACAAGGTCAAGGACTCCATTTCCACCCATAAAGCTTGATGAGTGAGGCCCTCTGGACCTCTATGGATCCAGATCCATGGTCTCAACTCAAAGAGGGAACCAAAGGGGCACCAAATCACCCCATAAATGACCACATTAAGCCCTAAATTGCATCAAACTTCACCAAACAGAAAATGGTCCGAAAATAATACCTCTAGGTTGATGATCCAAGCTCCAAATCCACGAAATAGCAACCTCCTTTGCTTCCTCTTGCTTAGGGCCTCCTTCTTCTTGCTAAACAACACACACAAGATCAAGATTGGCTCTCTTTCCTTCACAAAACGCTCAAGAACTCTAGGGACACTCTCTGGGGTTTGGGTGAGCACAAATGACGGCCATAAGGCCCCTTAAATAGGCCTCAAACCCGGAGATTTAGGGTTTCATAACACAGCGCAGACTCGCCGAGTCCATACCCTGGACTCGCCGAGTCCAAGTGCGCACCCTCGATCAATCCCGCGTCCCTACTCGGCGAGTCCGAGCTCCAACTCGCCGAGTCTCTCTCACAATATATAAAAATTCAAACTTACAAGATACCTGGTAAAAATCCGGATGTTACAACTCTCCCCCACTAGAACTGGACTTCGCCCTCGAAGTCCCGCTCTAAAA